CTAACAATTTAACTTTAAATTAATTAGTCCGTAGATGTACATACACTAATCAGTAACTAGGTACAAATAGGTAATTAATAATTTTTAAAAATTACTTCAAGGTTCAATTGAATTATTGCTCTAAAAACGTTTTAAATAGTTATTTACATGTAAGTATTAGCACTATTACGTATCCTAAGTACCGAAAATTCTCCAAAATAAAAGAAAAACAATTTATCATGTAGCTTATTTATATTAAAATATATTCTAATATGATAATAATAATTGTTAAAAAAGATTATTATAATATTGTAAGTAAAACTTACTCACCGCTACATAAGACAAATTAATATCATACCTAGAATACTATACATATCTTAAAAGTCTCTAGTTACAATAACGCAAAAGCAAGTCCCGAACCCCATATAGAAATGAAAAATGATTATAACAGGTTAAGCGCCATGTAGGAGCTACACACGACGTTTTCCACCGCGTTTCGTACGCCATAGTGTTTTTCGTTGTTGTAAATTTGAGTATTATATATGACGGATGTGAATATGTGATCCGCTCACTCCTGAGTTTTTATCCACGACGGAAACGCAACCATCCACATATAGCTGTTTCAGTAACAAACGCTGCGGTTCACACAGTTTAAGAAACTCATCAGAAAACTTCAATGTTATTAACCATTATTCCTTCGTTTTTCAATCGGTAGGTTTAAGAAATTTGACATAGTTCGGGGAGTAGCTACACCGCGTGGGTCGCCTATATTTGAGGCAATAATTGAAAACAATTATTTATTGTATTGTAATTAATTGAGTAATAGTGTAATGCTTAGTGGCACAAATTATAGAGGAAACTGACCCGAGAGGAGCAGGCCAATATGCATCAATAGGGCTAATCCCACACAATCATTCGTAGCCCATTCTTTAGTACAATCACATTTTGAATCTATTGCATACAATCATAAATACAATTTTATAGTAAAAAAAAAGTAATCAACTTTATCATACTGCTAATAACTTTAGGAACCCTTGTCTCTAACTCCAACTCAGCCCTAATTTTTCAATCATAATCCAAAAAATGTTTTTAAAACATTGTTCATGATTATTGTTTATCACGATATGTTTAAACATAATAATTTTTTGTTTAATTTTGTTTATTTAAAAATATTAAAAAACAAATATTGTTTAGTTATTAAAAATACTAATGCCTGGTTGCAAAAACAATCACTAAACATTTAACGAATCAATAGTGAGCTAATAATAGTCCCTTAGATATCAGCATAACTATAATTAAATCAATTTTATAATATAAATTTACTTTTAATATTTTCAATGTGAAGCATAGAACTTTTTAGTGGTTTGAATAATTGAATAGTTTTAAAATTTGGTTTTATATCTGAGACCGAGATGGTTTAAGAGAAACTGGTGTAGACCTACTAAAAAAAAAAAAATAATAAAAAAATAAAGTCAAAAACATATAGATCAGAAATTACTTATTATTGTTACGTAGCTTCTTAAAATCAACAAATTCGTGTATAAAATATACCGGCATCACATATTGTTATTGTAAAAATACCCTTACAAATAAAATGATTTTCAAAATAAATGTTTAAAAAAAAAACTTGATAGCTGAATTTGTGGTCTTATAGCTTATAACTTAATATATAAGTAAAAAACAAAGTACCGTAGAATGGTGAAAATAGGTTCATGTTATTAAATATAGAAAATAACTTTCAAAATCTAAATATTTTAAAAATTTCACTGCTTGAAAAAATAATAATATACAAAATAGCGAAAAGTTTAAAGTTTTAAGGTTAATATTTTTTGAAGTAAAACAAATCACTAAAATTGTTATTTTTTGTTTAAATATCCAAATATTGTCAACATTTGTCTTCAAATGTCTATAAAAAATTGTGAAAATGTAGCGACTAATAAAATGCCAAAGTTAGAAGCAGGCCTCCACAGTTTACATAATATTCCTTCTCCTAACAGCCAACTTGAATGCAACAGAAGCTTGAGGTATACAAACTAGTTGATAATCGCTTTCGGGTTTCTCGGCCAGTTAGATACACTTTCTAATGAAAACATAATATTGTACCATTAACAAAACAAAACTAAATAGAAACATATAACAATAATGTGGATGATCAATTGAGAAATTAATTTATTCAATTCAAGGTTTTCTATCAAGTTTCAAAAAAATGACGAAGAAAATGAAAAAGTTATACCACAGGAGATATATATAAAAAACTGCTCTTAGAATTAAAACATTGAAGATTCCCTTATATCAAAGTAGCTTTAAAAATGTACCTGTCAGTTATGGTAATTAACAACCTAACCTAACCTGGAGAAAAATGATTTTCAAAAGTGAAGTTGATTAAAAGCAGCTTCGAACATAATCGAAAATAATCTCAAAGTGTTAGCACTACTTAGCATTAAACGTGACATTTTTCAACAAATAAATTATGAGGACATTATAAGTTAAAATAATTAAACCAATTTATGTTTAAACACCAAGATCAATCCATTTTAAGTTCTGTTATATTTAATATATTATGTAATTGTATCAATGTGTTGTCTCAGTCTTACAAATACACAACATACCAAATTTAACGTTAACAATAATTAATTTTACTGGTATTTTTATAGTTATACTCAGTCTCAATAGAGAACAATCACTGAATGAATCAACATGAATGATGCAAGTGTAATGTAGAGAACCACAGGATCACTCTAACACAAGGAAGTTGGTGGAAGATGAGCAGCATTGATGTAAATTGGTCGGTTGACTGATTAACCTCTTTTGAGACAGAATATAAAGTGAATTGAACCACAATAAAATTCAAAGGTAAGATTATTAACTAGGGATAAGATTTTATTGATATTATTATTTTTTAATAAGTTATGATCATTTTAAAATGTACAACAAATGTACGGTTTCAAAAAGGTCATAGCTTGCTTCTTAATAAATATATCAAGAAATTTCTCCAAGAAACCCTAAATAATCTTACCTTTAAATTATATAACATGTCAATTCACTCCAATTTTCAGAGTAAAATGTATTATTGTGAACTTAAAATTTGCCATGTTGTATGTTTCTAAGATGGATACAATGGGTGTGGCGTTCTCTTAATACAATTATTTAGTATTAGGTAAATTGTACACTGCACTATTGCAGTGAGTTCATTATTTTTATATTTTATTTACTCATAGATTGTAGCAAATATTTATTAAATAGTGTTGTTATAAAAATCAAAGAATCTGGAGTCTTAGACATAATATACTGCATTTTATAATGTTCATAACTTGCTTCAAAATTAAAATATGATCATTCTGATTTCAAAAATAATAGTGTAAAATTATTTAAACAATTATTTTGAATGTTGTAAGACAGGGTTAATTTATAAGAGTATGTTATCCTTTTGAAAATCCTTGAAGCACATAAATTTACAGCAATAATTTAGGGACAACATTATCATGAAGTTGTTCATAACCAAACGCACTATTGTTACTAAACATTATAGTATTATTTAGTAACCACTAATCATAATTTTTGATTCACATTACAAAATGAAACATAATACAGCAACAAAATGCACTAATCAAAAAGTTTGACATGTATATTAGTGTGTATCCTGTGGTTTATAATATCTATTATCTACACTATATAATTTTATAGTTAAATCACTCTAATACAAACATTTAAGGAAATCTTATATATTAAATAAAAACAAAAGTGCGATAAATGTTTGTATTAAAAATGTACAATTTTTTTCCTGGTGAGTTATTTCATACTGTTTATCTATTATAGAATCTCAATTGGTACTTTATTAAGATTTAGAAAGGTCAATAAATGACTATTGTTTGAACACCTACCTACCTAACATTAATATGTATAAAATGTACATTTTTAGTGCAATACGTAATTTTTGTTATCAACCAGTATAATTTTTATGCTAGCACATTTGCAAATAGTTATTAAATTAAATACTTGCTTTACCTGCAACAGTAAAGAATGTACCTACTAGATGCTTCTTATCTCTATAGTTTTTACCTTCAAAACTTATAAAAAGTCACATAATTCATTTTTTATGAAAATGATAAACTAAATTTGTATTTCACATGATTGAATATTTAAATTAATACCCTTTATCTAATATCGTAGGCGTGTGCAGTGATACTTAATAACTAAAAATTAAAATATAGATATATTATAATCATATATTTTTTAAGACTTAAGAAAAATTTTAACATAGAATATTTACTTGGTAAAAAAAGTGGTGTGTGGAGGGGGGAATATAAATTATTAGCCAAAATAAAAATTCCGAGCCTTCCTAGAGGAGCTTTCTAGTGTTTAAATATGTTTATTCATACCTAATTGTTTGTTTTAACACAGTTCTTAAACACATTTAATAGATCACAATTTATTTTTTGTATGCAAAACTTGTTTATGCTACACTAAAAATAAAATAATAAATTACTTGAGATCTGATGTTATGGGAGCCAAAAAGGCAAACTATGGGTGAAATTACTGTTAAATATCCCTAATATTGTATCTAATATGGAAGACAAAAGTCTGTATAAAAATATAAAAATTATGATAGGTATACAAACTTCTGTTTTTCAAATGAGAACCCTTTTTTTAATGTTAATTATTTAGTAGATCATTTTTTTGAAAATTTTTATGAACCGAATTCAAAATCCAAACGAGTAATCTTTCAGTTATTGAAATGTTTATACTAAAGATTATAGTCCTTAAAAATAGTTTCGCAAAAGCATAAAATACATATATTATACCTATACTTTAAACGATACTTATATGAAGTTTATTTTTTTATAATAACTAGGGAGCATACAGAAAACTATGCAAATCCTACAAATTCTGAACATTAACTAAAACCTACAATAACAAACTATGAATTTTACAACTTTTTAAAATAATAATTTTCTTCTGCTTAGTGTAACAATAAAAAATACATTAACATAGAAAAATATAACTGTAAAAATCATATTAACCTTTTGAATTCATGGTTGAATTCATGGATAGTAAAGTATTTCCATTTTTGACTACATTTTCTTGCAGAAGTAAGTGATCTTCTCCACTGGCTTTTAACCGATGGTCATTAGTATTTGTTCTTAAACTCATTTTAAAATGATTTCTGTGTTCCTGTTAAAATTGATTGTATGTACAAATTAATATATTATTTTACTGTTATTAAAAATAAATGTTTTACCTTATGAGAAAAATAATGAACAGTAAATCAGACTTCAGAGTATACCTAGTCACTAAACAGTCGTTAGTGAACTGAGACGAGATTAGAACAGATTTATTTCAATGTAGAAATGTAGCAAGTACTTGAAAACAAAATGTAATTCATATCGATTACATTGTATTTACTTAAGACTGAAGTTAGAGTTTGAACTTCACAATGACGTTTATATTGTTAGAATTTAAATCTTGAAACACGAAGCTGAGTGGGAGATAAAAAAAATGTTGAAATGGCACCTTCTTCACGTGTTGAGGTTAAATTGTAAACAAACCACGGTTCGGGTTCCAAAATAATTTTGATTATTCCATGAACCAACGATGTCGCGTAGGAGTAGGCCCCTGTAAAGACGCACCTCTACAGTTCGTAATAGACAAATAGACAATCATTGAATACTGAATAGTACACTGGATATAGTACAATGATAATAATTACGTTATTCTTAAATAAATCGTGGTTAAACCTTAAGCTAATAGGTACAACTTTGTGTTTATTATTTTGTAACCATAGTTTGGTTACAGAAATAGTAAATACAGAATTACAGAGCACGGACTCTCGGACCCACAGACGTCCTATAGCGGCTGCCCTGTGTCCACCCAATGGGCAATGGCTACTGACTATAGAATAAAGATAAGATCCACTTGCAGTCCACCATCCATGATCCATTGACCCACAATAATTCGATAAAATTTTACCATTGATACTTACGTGTTACGTTTACGTTTGATAGGTACTTACGTAATATTATGGTTTATTGACTTACTAATGGTTGAAGTATTTCAACCATGGGTGTACAACGTAGGACCTATATTATATTATTATGTAATTAACGTAATATAATACATTTATAATTATGTTTTGATTCGGCCAGTGTAGTTATTATTTTTTGGCTTTTAGTTAGTAGTAGCTGAACACTTGAGAGTTGAGGAGTAAGTCGTCATTACAATACAGACTATTGAGTATTGGGTGACGGGTTTAAAAGATCCCTGTAGGCTGTAGTTAATAATAGTGTCAATCAATGGTTTAAGTGGGGGGATACGATGGGATGGCATACCTCCACTTTTTATAATTCGCATTTTTCATCCCTCTACTTATTTTGTACAACTGTTCAAGCGATAGGTACATGAGAACTATATAAATTATGAAGGGCATCCCTCCAATTGTTTTGAGCCACTTCAACCACTGGTTCTGGTATCAATATAATACTTCATAGTGCCAAAGGTACTAATATTGGTAATAGGAAACAAAAGGAGATACATTATTTATTTTTAAATAGTTATTAAAATTAATGAATTTTTAATAAGTTAGGATTTAATTAAATACCATACAAAGCATTATTTTTATTTTAACAACGAAAATATACTTAAATATAAGTACAATTTAATTAGTTTGATCAAACATAAGTACGTACCTAGGGCTGCCATCCGTCCCGATATTGAGACTTTATCCCGACGTCCCGATAAAAGACTAAAATGTCCCATCATGAATTATGATCGAAAAAAAAAAAAATTTTTTCAACTTGTTATTTGTTCTTTTGAGAATCTTTTAAGACTAAACGTTTATGATTAAAATCCAATGAAATCGTTACTGTTATCAATTCATGACATTTTTTAGTAACGTAGGCCACGGACACACGGCATAACTGCGATAAGTCGACAATTGCCAGTCAGTCGCTTCATTTTCTCGACGGAAAATATTATACATAACATCCCGATCGAAAGGAAATCTACCAAATGTATTTGCTTGCAAACTAAAATTAAAATGAAAATGTTTGTTTCAAAATTGAGTATTTTTATATACTCGATCCTAGAATTCTTAGAACGCTCCGACGAGACCCTAGCCAAATATGGCAACCCTATATACATACCACACACGAAAATTGGACATACAGACGTATTGGCTAAGGTGTAATGAATTATAATTTTGAAAAGTATCACTTCTCTTTCTACCTGGAATTTGGAATGTAGGACCATGAAAATACACTATCGAGCGTATTTATAATCAATCTGACTTTTCAATAACACATTTACTAAGTTGATAAGTCATAAACACCCTTCTATTTGGAATCTCGTAAAAAAATTGACGCTGGAAGTTGCATATATTTGTTAGTTGCAAGTATATTTTTTTTATGAGGTAAAGTATTTAATAAGTATTTAGGTTTTTTGTGAAAATTCAACAATATCGGTGATGACTGAAAAATAAACACGTCATGTAATCAATATACATTCATCGTTCCGCTCAACATTTTTTAAATTAGAAAGTTAATATTATTTGATCGATAAAATATTTGGTATTAAACACTATTTAATTAACAATAATTATTTTCCCATTTTGTATAGGTACAAAAATGCAGTTAATAGATAAAAGTTTAAAATACATAAATTCAAAGCATTTATACATATAAAATAACATAGCTATCTAGTACCCACTACCCACTAACCATAGTCCACAGACCTATTAATTAATAATTTGTTAATAGGTCTATGCTACTAACCTATATTTTAAATTATAGTAGTAAAGATAATATTAGTGCTTACAAATTATGTTTACATTAATAAATAATTACTTATCAATTTATGATGGTTGTTAGCCGTAATAGCTAGTAACCCACAGCTACACTCTATCTATATTGGTTCTACTCTACCATAGCTTTACTCCTAGTATGAAAGCAACAGTGGTTTACCTATTTTAAACTTCCAAAAAAATATAGTATAAGAAGTATTTACTTATTTATTAATATAGTATTGATAAGTAAAATAAATGTTTTTATAAATTATCACATTATGTCCATATATGATGTATAAATGAATTATTTTTGTCTGTATGTCTTTTATGCCTTCCTAATCTGCAGGACCGATTTTTGTGACATTTTTTGTGTGTATTTTAGTAGTTCCCTGGATGATTTAGATTTACAATATTATATCCAGTTAGGTCCAACCCGGAGAGTTGCTCAAACAGGGATTTTGAGATTTAAGAATAAAATTTTTGTTTATAAATGCTGGCACTCAACGTATTAATATAAAATTCGTAATTAATATTACGTATGTACCTCACGGGGTCTGCAATCCACCATAGGTGAATTGCCTACCTGAAAACATACAGCTTGTATCATCACAAGCGTGTCTCACGGGCAATGCCGGGTGGGATGGCTATAAATTAATAAATTATAAGATTTACACTTAAAAATACATTGCTTCCACAGCGAGTTAAAACTAAAAGGAGTTTAAAAATCAAATTTGTTATCCAAGCAACGCCAGTTTTATTTTTAGCTAGTACATAATAAAAATGATATCTGGAATTTACTAAGCAGTAAGCCTAAAGGCGAAGTCCTCATCGGTTTTTCCATTAGCCCCCAAAATGTATACCGTAGTTATATGTACCTACAGTTTTGTATTAACTATCGACTTATCAAATCAAATATTACAAAAAAAGATATTCCAATGGTCAAGCAACATCAGCAATTTATGGTGTAAATGTGTAACAAGAACATTACAAGAAAAGAGGTCTGATTAAACGTTTTAAACTATTGTGGGATACTGGTTTTAGTACTGTGGGTCTGCCTCATTTTCTAGAATCCACTATCCACTGTGAAGAAACTTTAACCTCAACCAAGTACCAACTATGTACGAAGTGGCTAACGATTTAGATTATTAGTTATTTATATCACATTTTAATACCAACATTCAATACAACTACAAGACATAAGTCATTCATGACTAATTTTTAACTAAAACTTAAAATGTACTTACAAATTTCAAATTTGGATAAAATTACTTATTTAAACCAAGATTAACGACTTTAGTTTTTTTTGTATAATTTTAGCAGGTTATCTAGCATGTTGATGTTGGCTGGGTTGAAACACTTGAAACACGTGTTTGTGTATGTATGGTAAGGATATGTTGCTAAAAAGCCCGGTGGTTATCCATCCGGAAGCAACGCTGGCCGGTAGGTATTTTCAAATGCAATTTTTGCAAAAATGAATTTATCTTAATGTAGTACTAATGCCTATTATATAGTAAAATAAATTACTTAAATCACAATAATATCATCAAATATACTATTATACTAAGTCACATTAGGCTGAGAGATCGTTTTCGCGGAGAATCATTTTTCGTAAACAATGATTGTGAATCATTGAATTCAAATTTAACACCATCCATTACAGTGACCCACTTGTAGACCCAATGGCCCACCAGTACAGCAGAGCGACTTACCTGCTCTTTTTTAGTTTTATAAGTACATGTATAGTTAAGAAAACATTTATGTTAACTGTTATAACTATTTCATACTCGCATATAGTAATCTGGGGCTTGAGTCCCCCCCCCCCCCAACTAATGGGGTTCCGCCTATGCGTACCTCTCAATTAATTTGTATATTTAAATAAATTAAAAAAACTCTCATAATCAATTTTATTTGTTTTTATTTGTTATCATCTTCAAATTATAAAACTGAAATTAATAAATCCATGTTATAACATTAAAAAAAAATTAAAATCTGTGTTCATGAAGTTCAATAAGCAAATTTGTAGTATAACAAAAAAAAACAAGACACGGTCTCTCGTTAGAAGGGACAACAAATGGTACTCTAGTCTCAATAGGTACTTCAAAGATAAACTCGGAGTTTGATATAATTTAATTGTTTTTTCTAATTTGTATTTGACATAAACATAACTAATAACTTATAAGAGACATGTATCGTTTACGTAAATTAGAAAAAAAGCTTTGATTCTGGTTTCCGTCAATATATATATTACATGCTTTGGTAAAATCATTACACTAATATTCCATATTTTTGCAGGAAATTGTCATGTACTTACAGAAGTGCAGTATAATAAATAACTAGTATTATTTTAACAGCTTATTATTTTTATATAGCTGTATACTTATAAGTTATAAATTATTATTTTTAAAGTACCTATATTTTAATTTGAAATGCATTTTTCATGGTTTTATAATATGCATTATAATATTCATTGTATGATATATGTGTGCGTGTGCATGTATCTGTGAATTGTACAGATACAGACATACAGTAAGATAAAGATTTTATACTGCAACCCGTGTAAAATCAAAATTAAAGAAAGAATAAATATTGTCTACATATATACTTCTTAATATATTCTCTATCTATCTTTATCTTTATCTATCTACTAATGGGAATAAATTCCAAATGGTACTGAAGTTGTATAGTATCTTTTTATAACAATGTTGTCATGTCCCCTGGACCTCGGTCTCGGTTATCAGTCCATTTTTTCATAGGTCTATGATTGCCTATGATTTTTAGTTGTTTATTTTAGGTTTATCAGGTAAATTGAGGTAAACGGGAATCAAACTATTTTTAATATTGATTGAAACGACTAACGAGTGAGATCGGGGCAGTTTAAATTTTGGTGGAAACAGGCATGTTAATTTTAAATACAATAAGATATAAGTTTAAAGTTGTAACATAATACTAGCTTTGGGTCTTAAACTTAATAGTCTTATACAATGTATTGTTATAATTTATAAATGTGGGAAGATATGGTAAATTGTCTGCGTAGCTACGAATTAAAATTTAAAATCTTTTGTGGTTTCATTATTATAAGAAGAAAATTATAAATACCAAATAGGTAAAAGTCCCAACAATAAAAAATATAGGTATATAATCTAAAAAGGCCAATTAGTATACACGTCCCGATTTAATTTGCGAAAATTCGCCTGTCAGCCCAATGCCTATATTACTGTAAGTGCTACATATAATTTTTTTTTTTTTAAATCTTGTTTTAAATTTTTAATTCTTAGATACAAAAATTGAAAAATTTATAAAATGTGGTTTTGACGAACTTTGTCGAAATCCATAGTTTTTCATTTTATACTTAAGATTTGAAAATTGAATACAAGATTTCTCAAAAGTTTTCTATGTTCATGTATATATTAATACAATCTTTAAAGTATAATGTTTTACAATTAAAGCACACGTGAGTTATGGTTTAATGTAAGAAATATTCTAAAAAATAGAATAAAATTAATTTAATTTAATTTACCATGTTTCAGACAGGGTGCTTGGTGTGAAGTGGTCAACCATTGGCGAAACTTTATGTCATGTAGGTAAAAGTTGGGGTTAGTCAATATTAGTACACCACCTATTTATACTTAAAAAAAGTTTACATACTTTTATTCATTTATATGTGGTTTAAAGAAGCCTACGAGTATTGGGTGGATAAAAAAATGGTGAGGACTGAAGGGGAACAATCGCTATACCCCTCGCTACCCATATTGAAGTAAAGACGCCTATGGCACCCACTTGATCAGCTTTCGTGTACACTAAAATACTCAACTACCTATATGGCTATATTTTATCAATTAACTTTTGAGAATAAATAACTTTCTGTTAAAACCTAATCAAAACAATTTATGTTAGGTACTTGTAACTTGTGTTATTCCCTTGAATCTACCATTGATTATATCTATTATTTATTTGAATAGGATATTAAAACTTAAATATTTTCCTATATTCTATAGTTGACTAATATATGAAATTATATTGACTAAAAGTAGATATTATTTTAATGAAGAACATTAATCATACATTCATAACAACAAAATATAATAATATTATATCTAACCTAATTATTACCTACTCTTCCATCTAGATCACGTGATCTAGGTACTTCTTCATTAAGTTTTTTTTAATCCGCGCTATTCCTGCAAGATAAGTTGACATACACGAGAATAGTTGAGAATGTTAAGATATTATTTATTGAATATTTTTATACATGCGATTCATAATTTGTGTTTAACTATAAACGATTGACACTTAATTTGGTTACTCAACCATGCGTACAGTATTTTTTTGGATTAAAGCTATGATACTATGGTACTATGGTAAGTACCTACCTATGTCATTAATTTAAAAATACTAATATCAAAAAATATAGCTAAGCGCTGATTTGTTAGAACAAATATTTAAATATTTAAGAACACACAATTAATGTGAACGATGGATGTAGAGAATAAGTTATCTGTATTTAATATATTAATTAAATAATAATATAATATGAACAAGATATTTATACGCAGTAAGTCAGTAAAGCGCTATTTCTTTAGGTACGTATAAATTAAATACCTATTAGGTTCTCTGGATTGGACAATAGCACCAATCACCAACCACCAAGATCAACAATTGAAATACCTAGACACCTACAAATCATAAACCTAATAATAACTAAAAACAATATAGACCTTATATTATACTTTATACTACAGATAAATCATAAATATATAATATAGGACACACGCGAATGATGATTGTTAATTTAATCATTTTAACCAAGTACCTACCGGCTACCAGACTCAAGTTTAGAACTAAAATATGATCGTATCAATGTATCATAATATCAAGGTCCAAGTCATACTGGGAAATACTATAATTTATAATGGCCAATAGCCGATAGGTAAGACACCACCTAACCACGTCTTGACACCGTGACTTCTAATTTTATATTGTTTCCACGTGAGTACATTACCGCGTCTTTCCAAGAGCATATTTTAATATGCAAAGTGCGTGGCGTTAGTGCAAATAAAAATAGTGCTCCTCCAGTAATAAATAATTGATACCCACTGGTGCGTGATAGTGCCACAAGTCACAACGAAATAATATAATAATATAATAAATAATAAATAATATAATAACTGATGCCACTGACATTCTCATAATGAACCAAATTACTTGAATGAAACTAATAATTATATAAGATAAGTAAAAATAAATATTTTTTTTTCCCTGCAGTAGTACAATTGCCAATTGGCGGTGTCACTGGTACTATTCTGAGTAAAATAATAACTTGAAGCGTTTATAAGCGACGAGCCTCAATTCTCAAACGACGATGCTTGAATGTACATTTATGAAAAAATAAATGTCAAAAAACAGCTAAATATGGGACGGTTCACCTCTAGCAATGAAGCATGGACACATACAGCATCTCCGTCGTATAATCGTCGCTTATATTAGGTACGTGCTTCAAATTGTTAACAAGGTCGATATGGACATGGCTCTATCCATTGTGTATGAATTATGATCCGAGGTGTACTGTTTTCGTAATTTGTATTTGTGTGTCCTAAGTACTCCTAAAAAGTCCTAATAAATAGTAGAACTCGTCGTGTCTCGACGGTTGCATTGGTAAAATTAATATTTTTTTATATTAAATGTATACAACTATAATGTTAATTGTAGGAGTGGTAGTACATTAATACATGGCTATGTCCTCTCTTCTACTTATTTTACTAAGGTTTATATTATATCGACAAAATCGGTAATGTTGAAATTTTATATCAGAATTCACAGTTTCAGTTAAGTGGATAAAGCTAAAAAAAACAGTTGAGACTGAAGGATTGGTAGTACCTAATTACTTAAAATATGCTCTGCACTTCCCACATTATATTTTGGTCCCCCTCTTATACCTTATTTATAAATATAAACACATTAAATATTGTCAACCAAGAAATTATGGAAGTATTCAAGTACCTATAGTGATTTTGGTTTTATAAAATCAAAAATTTTTTTATTTTTCTAATAATTTCATTCCCTTATCAATTTGATAACTTCAACTATAGTCAAGCATTGTCGGCCTTAAACAGTGCATATCAAAGCTCCCCTTTTAAGGGGTTCATATTTGAAAAAAAATTATAAAGACCTTGGAAAACTAACCTAAATATAATATATTTATTAAAATAGTATATATATTTTTTTTATTTATTATAAAAAATATACAATCTGTACCCTGAGGAGTAATAAGAATATGGGCTAATTTACAGTGACATGAATAAGTTGTTGGAAGAAGCTACCCAGTAATTACATTTCCTATTGACTTTTCTATTTTAGTTGTTTAAATCTCAAGGGTCATGGATCTATGAGATTATTCAATTTTTAATACAATTTTTATTTGGCTTTAAAATATTAATATAAAAAAAGGTGGACAATGGAAGCAATTCTGCTGTGCTGTACGTGTCGAGGGCATCACTAATGGCTGGGTTAAATTTGAATCTTAAAATTGTATGAAATAAATATATTACATGAAAAACGATTCTGACCTCTAAGCAAAGAGCCGAGGACCGTTCGTCGGCCTAGTATTATTAAATACTATAAAGTATAAGTAAATGTTATGATATTATTGCTTTTAAATTATTTAAGTAACTTATATAATGTTCAATTGTTTTATTATTTCATAGTTTTTGTAAGAAAATATTTTTATCATACCTATAACTTAAATAAATGTTAATTGTAATATTTAGGTAGCAACTATTTTATTTTTATTTTTATGATTCTGAGCATTGCGAGAAATATGTTGAGTTTACAATGATGTGTTTTTTTTTATATGTATTTGTCTGTAAATATGAAAAGTAGTAGAAAAAAATGATTTGATTTTCAACTTTGGTGGTGGCTTCTGGTAGCAGATTGAATCTGGTAGGTAATTTTGAGTGGTCAATAATGAAAATTCCTAGTACCTTTTATTTTAGTCACAAGAAAAATCATTTTAAAGCAGTACAAATGTTTACATTTTGTACTCATTATGTTTTCCAGCTGTTTTAATTTTTTTAAAGATAATTTGTTCATCCAATCCAGATAACAATACTCACAGTAATTGGAACATTTTTTAGTGGCTTCAAAAACTGAGGACATTTAAGAATTTTATTAATCAATTAACCCTTCAATAGGAACAAATTGTGAGTCAAATGATATGAATAAGTTAAAAATAGTTATTTGTTATTAAATTAAAAACCTACACATTTAAATTTATTATCCATGCAGGAGTACATGATTTATTTTTTATTTCATCATTATAATTTTCCAGTGCCGCAGTGCCTACGAGTTTGTTGGAAGATAATCTTTGGTAGTGACAAAATCTTCAACCTCAAAAAAAATCATTAATTTTTTTAACAAAACTTAATCAATTTTGGCACAAATCTTATATGTAATCATTGATAGTTAATCATCATTGCACTTTAATTAATTTGTTTTTATAAAGTCACTATCATTTTCCATATTTGCAAATACATTAAAGATGGATAATTTAGTCTTGTGTAGTTGTGTACATACATTTTTAAATCAAACAACTAAACGTACCTTAACTTTTGTCAGCTGCTAAGGTCTACGGATTTGATATTAGTTTGAAAATGAGTTAACAGATATATTCCGTATATAATTGATAATCCCAATTTTATTTATGTGGGTAGGGTATCATTTTTAGTTACAACACATATTATGTTAATTTACACCAAAGATGCAAAGATTTTTTAGTTCTTAGGAAAAGATTAAGTCACTATTTTCGTAACAACAATTTTCGGTTTGGAACCAGCTGTTCTGTTGATTTGATTAATAATTTGTCTACTAGTTTATAATGTAAGTGCTAGGTACTTAATAAAGGCTGATGGGCAACCACTTTATCCTACATTCAATGTACAGAAAAGGTGAAGAATATAAATTTTAATAAACTGCTTACAATACTCTTAAATCATCAGCATGATTAACCATATCTTATTTAAACACTATTTAATATTTTACATATTTAAGTTGGAATTTAAAAATTAGAAAAAAAATTAAGATAGTTTCAATTTAAACTACAACCAATGTCAAATTTTAAAATTAGGATTAAATAAAAACAATGGTTTTAAAGCATCATCATTTTGAGTGGAGATTCATGAAGTCTATCATTCCAATCACCACTGAAATAAATTGAGTATTAATCACCAATAACAACAAATATTTTTTAAACCAATTTTAATCAATAGAATATAATAATTTCACAACAACGAAAATAAAAAGGTAAAACACCTCAACGAAATTAACATCATTCTATTACAAATTATTATGCTGTCAATCTAATATACTTGGATTCCCATTTTGAAATATGACAATAACATTAAAGCTATCAATAATGTTTATAATAAAATAATAAAATAATAAATACTATTACTACTTATTAAAATGTTTTCATGACTTTAATTTAATGGGAATTTAAAGACTATTTTCTACATTTGTTTACCATATTAAAAACATACAGTAATTATTTTTTTGTATTCATAATGGAATGTACAAGGTGAACCAATGAAGAATGAACATAGAAGATTTTGGATAATCTACGGTTAAAATATTCATCTGCAACATATTGTAATTTATGTAAACATTAATTAAATGACCATATCACAGGTGACTATAATATATTGTTGGCGCTAAATCTTTAAAATGACATTTTTTTTAAGTAATAAAATGATAGTTTTATTCAGTCACATAATTATTGTAATTTTTAAGAATAATATACATATATATATTTATACACCTTGTTAATAAAATGTATAATACATTATTGTTGCTCTTGAAAATGTTAATATTTTAGAGTTAATTACTTTACAAATCAGGCCAACAATATATTAATTAATTATTAGTAATTAGAAGAAATTTTTTTAAAAAATGCATGAATATTTTTTACTTACATAGCCGTTTATTTAGGACGGGAATCCCTTGGGTAAAACTCAGCTAACGTAGCAGCTGGAACTCGTTTTAACATTTCCTTAGGGAAGATACGTAATAACTGCCATCCTATGTCCAAAGATTCAAATACTGTACGATTTTCATAATTTCCTGATTAAAATAAAAAAATGGTATATTATTATCATAATTTTTAATAAAGTTTATCATAGTTCAAATTTTTACCTTGTGTGATGAAATTTTTTTCAAATTTAGTTAAAAATTCAAGGTATAGAAGATCATCTGGTGTTAATGCCTCTTCTCCTACCACAGCTTTCATTGCTTGTACATCTTTACCAATTGCATAACAAGCATACTAAAAAATTAATGTATGTTGTAAATTAATAACTAATAAACTAATTAAATACTAATGTATCTACTAATTCAGTACTATAGAACTTACCAACTGATTTGACACATCAGAATGATCTTTGCGAGTCATTCCTTCACCAATAGCAGATTTCATCAACCTACTAAGGGATGGCAATACATTTATTGGTGGATAGATTTGACGATTATGCAATTGCCGATCAACATATATTTGACCTTCAGTAATGTAACCCGTTAAATCAGGAATTGGATGAGTAATATCTAATAACAATTTTTAAAACATACATTATGAGTTTTAATTAAAAAAAAATGTCATGAATTGTTATGTTACCATCGTTAGGCATAGTTAAAATAGGTATTTGTGTGATAGAACCATTTCTTCCTTCTACACGCCCAGCACGTTCATAAATTGTAGCTAAATCGGTGTACATGTAACCAGGGAAACCACGACGCCCAGGTACTTCTTCACGAGCAGCAGAAACTTCTCTTAAAGCTTCAGCATATGAACTCATGTCAGTTAAAATAACTAAGACATGCTTTTCACATTGGTAAGCTAAAAATTCAGCAGCAGTTAAAGCAAGACGTGGTGTAATGATACGCTCAATAGTAGGATCATTAGCTAAATTCAAGAACAAACAAACATTCTCCATTGAACCATTTTCCTAGAAAAAAAATATAAATATATATTGATTAAATATTTTTAAATTGTAAGATACGTTGATGAATAGATAATTAAGTTTTAAGTTTCTAAGAGATAAAATAATTAAGGCTGGGCCCTACATTAAGAGTTTTATTTATATCAATCAATATTTAACAATTACTTACCAACTAGACTTATAGGACAATTTTTTTAAAATCTTAAAAAATAAATTGAATATAAAAAGCAATACAGCAAAAATACTGAATTTATAATTTAAGTTAAGGGGACAAATACTTAAAACAAGGCCTAAATACATTTTGACGCTCTCTGGGTGGCTACTCACTTTTTTTATTGAAAGTAAGAATTGTGAGTATTATTTTAATTAAGTGAATTAATCAAGAATATAAACAAATACAATAAATACTACATCTAATATTACATACAGTACATATTTTTGTAAATTTATATTTAAGGTTTATTTAAGTATAAATATTTTAATAACCCAGAAGCTATGTATTAGAATTTTAAGAAATAGTTATTATTAATAAGAATGTTTGTCCCAACACTATTATTAATCATAACAATTTTTAATATTTAATTTTAATACTTATTTACCTCAAAATCTTGTTTAAAGAATCTGGCTGTTTCCATATTAACACCCATAGCAGCAAATACTATAGCAAAATTGTCTTCATGATCGTCAAGAACTGATTTACCAGGTTTTTTAACGAGACCAGCTTGTCTACAAATTTGAGCAGCAATCTAAGTAGTACATCAAAAGGATAAATACCTAGCAATATCTTATTCAAATAATAAGAAGTCAATTAAATATATATACCTCATTATGTGGTAAACCTGCAGCTGAAAATATTGGAATTTTTTGTCCACGAGCAATAGAGTTCATGATATCAATAGCTGAAATACCAGTTTGAATCATTTCTTGAGGATATGTTCTGGAGTATGGATTAATAGGTTGGCCTTCAATATCCAAATAATCTTCAGCCAAAATAGGAGGTCCTTTATCTATCGGCTTTCCACTGCCATTGAAAACGCGGCCCAACATGTCTTCAGACACTGGTGTTCGCAAAATATCTCCAGTAAACTCACAAAGGGTATGCTTAGCATCAATACCGGATGTACCTTCAAATACCTAAAATCATAAGTTATAGAAGTCAATATGCTCTAGACTGAATATTTTCAAGTAAATATTATATATACCTGAACCACAGCTTTAGAACCAGACACTTCCAGCACTTTTCCAGATCGAAGTGTTCCATCGTGTAATCTCAATTGAACTATTTCAGCATACTTAGGAAATTTAACATCATCCAAGATCACCAAAGGTCCATTTACACCAGAAACTGTTTTATATGCTAGAGAAATTTATTATTTTAAGTTGAAAAAGTGAGTATTATAAATAACCACGCCCACTAAAATTAGCTACCTATTACATTGAATTGTCTATTATCTTAAAAAAAACTACAACGTTTTTTTAAATGACAGATTATAAAACAAAATTTTAATTTTAACAATAAGCAGATGTTAATTTACTTTAAAAAAAGACTATACTAAGTTCATGACATAAGTTTATAATAAATTATAACACAAATATTATAGACTGTCAATAAATTTGATCACAAGAAATAATATTTTCTCAGGTTAAGATTGTACAGTATATTAATGTTTGGAAATCCAGTGTAAAGAAAATCACAGAAACTAATTAGTTAATGAAGATGTGAAATTGATAAATTGACGATTCACTTACAATGTTACAACACACATTATTGATCATTATAAAAATGTAGCATTAACAATTAATATTTTACAGGTACTGCTCTGATTTCTTCAGGGTTGATTTGAACGTTTAATTGAGATTTAAGTAAGATACGATTGTATTATTTTATTTTAGTATAGCTTTTCAATTGTTGGCACAGACACGCCCTAATTTGATCGGTCATATTATATGTAGTTTATACTTACTAAGCCTCGGCTGAGAAATAAAATCTCTCGACACAGCCAACACATGTTCCTTATGAGCTTGTTGGGAGTTCATCGTACCAAATGTCACCAGTTTCAATCCAAAATTTTGGAAAAACTAGAGAAAGCAATCAAGAACCAAGTTCGCTTCTAGGCTCTAGATCGTTGATGTCGATTGCCGTCTGTCGAATGCTGCAACATGAGATTTTCGCCCATAATAAAGTCAGCTGTTTAATATATTAATAAGTGTACAAGGCCTTTATCAAAATAATTGTACAGACGTACAGTGGACACAACCTAAAATATTAAACGTTTATGTGGAAATGTTTTATTTTTGAGTCGCCCATTCCATTGATTTTAAACCTATAAAATATAAATAAGAATTATTATTGTTTATTTTATTTTAATATTATAATGTTAGGACAACTTTTGACGTATTTGTTAAATAGACATTTTTTCCCCTCGAATTTTTAAATACCACTAATGCCTACACTGTACACTATCTTGTGTACTTACCTGCAGCAGCTGCATTTGGCATGAATATTGTAATAAAGTTATCACAAATCACAATAACAATATTCAGATTTATTGTGTATTTGCGTTGTGTTGTGCTTGTACAATTTTGTTAATGTTTTGTATTCATCATAGGCACCTATTCGACCGGAGGTTTATTCGAACAAAATGATTTGAAATCTCAAAATTCGTTCTCTGGAAGAAATCTCGTGGAATACAATTTTCAAATGCTCGCCCCATCGCTGGACACCCTAACTAAAAATATGGAATGTGAAGAGCAATCTACGACCAGTTCGTTGGACATTGTAATAAAATGGAATGGTAACGATTACGATGTAAAAAATTTGAATACAAACAGTGATGTGAAAACGTTGAAAGAAGAAATATTTAAATGTACTGGCGTGCGGCCAGAAAGACAAAAACTTACCAACTTAAGAATTTCAGGTAAATATATTTATCTTTTTTTTGTGTAATTCCTTAGTATTTTTTTTTCTTCATTAATTCAAATTTACAATATATTACTGTCGTATACATTGGTAAACATATTTGGTAGTTGAGAGTATCTGCATTAATTGTAATTGATAATAGTTAAAATAATGGACAATTTCTTGTTATTCTTATAATGATGTTTTACTAAGTACTCTACCTACATTTTTTTTTATTAATATTGTTTTTTATTAGGTAGGTAGTGTTTTTTATAACATTTTAATCTTAGGTACTTGATTTTTTTTCTTGTGCAGTTTATAGACTACTTAGAAAAACAAATTTAGTTCAGAGGAATTAGAAATTAGTTCAAAATTTATAGTTTTTCTTTAAGTATGTGCACTTGTTATCAATTCTCATGCAGGTATAATAATATAATTTATTAATATTTTGTATTTTACTTGAATTTTTAAAGAAATGTGGCCTGTTCTTAGAAATATTTATTTTCCTCCTCTCTTAAATCACAGAATGCTTAGTAATGAATTATTTAATCAGATTTTAAATGAAAAAAAGTATTAAATTGTAACATTTACATTCAGTAGGGTTTGTCTTAAGAATAATATCTCACCCAAACCACTATTAACTGATTATCACCTGTTGCTATTATCTTAAAGTTATCCTCCCCGGAGCGAAAAAAATGATTATTCAATAAATTTATCCAAGGTATTATAGACAATGTGGCGAAAGTTCTAGGAAAATATCTATACAAGTCAAAAGTGGTAACACCCAATCTATAGACTTTTTACCAATCTCTTAATTCTAACTAATTTGTCAATGAACCATCCTTTAAATAGTAGTCGTGAAACTACTCAGTTCTAGTCTTATTGAATATAAAAATGTATCACTATTGGATATGTGTCCTATTTTATTTGTAAATTTTACTGTTTCATGTATACCTACTTAATTATACAACTAAGGTCCAGACTTGTAGGTTTTTACAGATCATTACACATCATGCAGTTTAACAAGTGTAAAAATGTAGGAAATGCATTGAACACAGAGTTTACAAGAAAAAGTTATTTTGTATATGAGAATATTTCAGGAATTAAGAAATGTTCAAGAAAAAGTTATAATACTTATGGGTTATCATGACTACCATACGCCACATATGGATTATACCAATTATACCAAGCCGTGTCCCACTTATATACTATATTTTCTAATGTTGTTACAATCGTGAAACAAATGAGACATTTTTAGTAGAAGTTTCTGATCGGTCTTGTACTGCTTTGATGTCCAAAATACATCAAAAATAGAGTAAATGACGACAATTTACTCTGATTGCTGGCGGACATTAAAAGTAATACAAGACCATGTACTTTCACTTGTATGAATATCAACAAATCTTGTTTTATTAATAATGAATGTCAGTTGTAAAAGGGATATAATATTTTATTAATTATATATGCTTACAGTTATTTTATTAATTGTGTTGTAAGTAATAAAGTTATAATTTTGTTTCAGGTAAAATGGCTCCAGACGAATGTTTGTTGAGTGCAATAAATATTAAATCTGGAACCAAAATTATGATGGTTGGTTCAAAAGAAGAAGACATTGCAGAAGCTAGTGTGGTTCCTCCTAAAAGAGAAAAAGGCAGAAAATGTAAAAGCTATGATTCAGAAGAGTTTGATGAAGAACGTGTTGATAAAATGGAAATACATTTAGCTAAAGTTCAAAATAGGGTTGATAATTATGAGGTAAAATTAATTATTTTTAATCAAGTATTTTATAAACATCATTTTTGTTTTTTAATAGATTAAAATGCTCAATGATCCTAGACCTGGCAAAAAACTGTTGGTACTTGATATTGATTATACTCTGTTCGATCACAGATCAGCAGCAGAAAGTGGATTAGAACTTATGAGACCATATTTACATGATTTTTTAGAATCTGCCTACGAAGTAAGTTTTATTGTTTTTACTGTTTATTTATTCCTTATAATACAATTATTTGGTACTAAAAAACAACTTGATTTGTGTAGCAATATGATATTGTAATCTGGTCAGCAACTGATATGCGTTGGATAGAACGTAAAATGGCTGTTTTAAATGTAGCTAATAATGTTGCGTACAAAATAATGTTCTACTTAGATAATGCTGCAATGATTACTGTTCATACTCCTAAATATGGAGTGGTTTCTGTAAGTTAAAATATAATTTATGTAATTTAAAATAACTATTTTTTTAACTTGTGTATTTTTATATTATCAAAGGTCAAACCATTAGGTGTAATATGGGGTAAGTTTCCAGAAAACTATAATAAACATAATACAATTATGTTTGACGATATTCGTCGAAATTTTTTGATGAATCCAAAAAATGGTCTGAAAATTCGTCCATTTAGAGAGGCCCATCTAAATTGGGAAATGGACAAAGAATTATTGCATTTGTCTGTGTATTTATATGAAATTGCCAAAATTGATGATTTTACTAAACTTAATCATAGAAATTGGGAAAAATTCATTAAGAAAGCACAATACAAAAAAGAAAAACGACATAAAAGAGATAGAACTGACAACAATGAACCTAAACCGCCTGATTCTCAACCAAAATTGTGATGTATCAAATGATAATGTGTATTTATATATATTTTGATCTAAATAAGAAAATTTATTGTACAGCTAATTTTTTTTTATGATAATTTAATATAATAAATTTAATTTGGCTAATATATTTTGCTATGCCTCAAAAGTTTGGAATGGTCATTGAATTTTCACCTTCATATTATAATGTTATTATAAATATTTTTATAATAGTTTATTTTGTTTGATGTCAAACTTATTTGGTTAAAGCCAAAAATTTAAAATTGACGAAAGAAAATACCTTTTTGTATGATTTATTACTATTTTACTTTCTTAGACTTATAACTTAATGTTTTTACTCTTAAATCCTTATTATCGTCCAAAATATAAATTACTGGTGTATAATTATTGTATAAATAAATTTTCAAAAATAAAAGTATTAAAAAAACAAAAAATATACAAGGATTGACTATTTATTTTCATTAGTGTAGTACCATTACTTTGGTACATTCAATATACTACAACTTTTTATTATTTTGTGAAAGATAAATTCGAAATTTTCTGTATAATTTATACCATCCAATTTAGATGCATATATGATATCAGGTGTAAAAAAATCTAGTTAATAGATTTCATTTACTAAACACAGCATCCTTCTCATTTTTTGGTATTTATGTCACCAAATATTCAATTTGAGTGATTGTTTATTTTTGAAAGATGTGTGACCAATTCTTTTACGCATGGTTTTTTTTTATAAGCAACAGGCTTCATTAAACTAAAGAAATTAATGAATTATGTTTCAAGACCACAAGTGATTACAATCAATTGATCTTTAGTAAGGTATTCCGCAACAATAAATTATTATTTCATAATTCTCTACACCAGTGGTTCTCTACCTTTTTTGTTTTATGTCACCTAACCTTAGCCACTAGTATCCGATACTGTGTTGTCCTAACACCAAATTTGTCTTCATTAAAATAAGAGAAGTTCTACAGTTAAACACTTAAACTACACTCGCGTACAACTCAAAACTAATAGAAACTGGATACGTATAATAGGCAAGTATATATACAGGTAACTGTGCGTAACTGTCAAACTACAAATTATGTCAATTAATTGCCATGTACTATCTACAGATCAGATTTGTCAACCAATAAATAAAATAACAAGTATAGTGGAAATATTGTTTTACATATACTGCTATGGGGGACTTTTTTTTATTTACCAAATGATTATATCATTGAATTCAAAGTCCATTACAGTGACTCTCTAGATATCTAATGTACAGCAGAGTGGGTCCCACTTACACGATTTTTTAGTGTATTTTAGGATTTTTAAGATACTTAAAAAGTATTCAAATCTAAAAATTTGAATTTTAAATTTTAAAGATTTTTTCATGCTTTTACTGCTTTTTATATAAATGAATAAACTATAATTTACTCAGTATAGTTAACTATAGTATAGTAAAGTTGACTTTACTTTACTTAAACGTATTATAAACATATATTTATACATTATACATCTATTTTAATCTATAGAATCTATCCAAATACATCAATTAGATGTATTGTAGACATTTTATAAAACTGAAATGTTAACTGGGTTAACGGATGCAATGACGTCCCCCCTCCCTCGGACGGGATAATTTCCCCGCCGGACAAAAAAAGATAAATATTAAACAATAATAAACAATGCAAATAAATAAATGTGCAAATGATTAAATTAATGTATAAATATTATGAATATAATAATATAATAAATATAATTGTATAAATGTATATTTTTATTTTTTTATTTTGGTAAGATAAATACTGATGACATTAAAAAATTTTAAATATCATCATTTGAAAAACTTTCACATAACTTTTTTAACCTATCATCTTTACCTAAATTATTACGAAAAGCTCCTACTCTATAATTTAAAATTTTGATTGATGCACTTGAATAGCTCATCTGTAGAGCTTCAATAAAAAGCCAAATATTTGGATGATAAATTCGCACTAGTGTTTTAAATTTATTATTCCACCCTTCCGAAGTATTGTTTGTTCTACCTATACCAGCTTTAGTCAACTCAAACACGTTCCATATGGAAGATGGAAATAACGGAGGTGTTCTGGTGAGAATATACTTTAGTTCTCCTTTTTTTTATTTCTATAACGACCGTTAACATAAGTTGTATCAAAGTACGTAAGAATTTGATCAGCATCTTGGTTATGAAAGTTTTCATATAAAACTTCCATACCTAAAACACAACCACAACCTATATCAAAAAAAGTTATTATTCATAAAATGGCGATATTATATTATGATGATCGTATATTTCGGGTAAATCCAAAGAACCTATTTTCAAACCTATTATTATGTGTAAAAAAAAGGTATATTGAGTCGGGGGGGAAACGTCCAGGTACCAAATAAATATGTGTTCTAAACCTAAATAAAAAATAATAATAATATAATATGGAAATAATTGCCTTTTCATATTAAAGAAGTCTAAAACGATAAGTTCTGTCTGTTAAACTTATTTTCCTAGATCCTTTGAAATGTATATTAATATATATTATATTATTTATAATAGTACCTATCCCTCTGGATTCATAGACAAATTTGACGACGTATAGGGAATAATTTTTTCTGTGATTTTGGGTTACCATTTATTTTTATAGCACTAACCAAACATTTTTAATAATTACATGATAAAATCAAGAAAAAACCTAATTTTTTTTAAACACAGTGACGTAGACAAGGCCAAATCCTCCCCCATTGGCTTTTTATTATTTTTTGTTATAAAACATTATGGAGTATGCACTTTAATGTACTATTTCGTCATATTATGAACTATCGAGGTATTGAATTTTTACAATTTTGTCAATACCTACTGGATATAATTATAATTTTATATTCGTTTATTTTATTAACAATTGTAGATAAAAATCTAAAAAAAATTGAAAACTGAAAATGTCCGTAAACAGCTCAAAACGATTCAAAATATTTTGAAAACTTTATCAAGTATATGAATTGATGAAAACATATGATGTAAAGTGTCAACAGCTATTTGTTTTTGAATTACAGCAAAATAAGAAAATCGCTAAATGAGAAATAGAATGAATATCTAATGTTATAAAAATTTCAACTTCAAACGCTCATAAAACTGAATTTAACTTTCCGGTAGTATTTTTTTCGATAAAGGTAGAAAACTTACAAGGAATCTTGTGTTCAATTTTAAAATCTTAGATTTAACAATAAAAAATTTGAAGAGTTTCTAACTCGAAATATTTTGCAAAATTTCGTGATTTTTACGAATTTTGTTAAAATTCTAAATTCAAACGCTCATAAAAAATCATTAGGGAATTGAGCTCAAATTTTTAATTTCACTAACAACAACTTACGAGAAACCTTGTATTTCATTTTCAAGTTTTTTGACCAAGCGAAAATTTTCATATGCCTATAAATAGTTTCACAAGAGTCAAAATATTTGAGAAAATTGATGGTTTATAGAAAACACTGATTAAAATATTCGGTGAAAATAAAATGTATCTACAATATTTTTTTGGAGTTACATCAAAAACCAATATCGATTTTGTCTCGAAACCGGGTTTCCGTAAAATCCCCGCATTTCCTTAATTTTTTGTTTGTTTTTCCTGCCGCTTTTGATTTGATTTACTTTTTAACCCCCCAAAGTAGCAACTAAATTCACTTTCCTACTAGGAAAGTTGCTGTTAAAGAAAACCGAAGCACTTTCACTGTCCCAAACAGTGTTGACAGATACAAAAAAAAATTAAAAAACATATTGTAAAATCAATACAGTCATCGCTCCACTCAGAATCTAAAAGCAAGTAAGTGGGTAATGCTTTAATGTTATAAGGTTAGGTCTAACGTCTAAAGCAAGTGTCTAGTGAGCCATTGTAATTGGTGTGATAAATTTTAATTCAATGATATGAAAGCACAGTACACAAAATAAAATTCTAAGCGAAGACGATCGTCAGCACTCGACTCCTCACTTCCCAGCCAATAATATTACCAAGTATATTTTATGATATAATTGAGATTTAAGTAATTTATTTAACTATTAAGAATAAGTAGGGTCACCAAACCGGGACATCCATGTTTTTTTTTTTTTTTATTTAAAAATAGCGTTTATTAAAAATTTACAATCTATACAAGTTATGTACAATGAGTAAATTGGAGGAGGGGTGAAAATGATAGGGCAGTGAAGGGAAGCTCACAGTTGAGCTACCTTTTAGTGAGTTATAAATCTAATTAAGTAAGTATATTAGTATTTTAGATAAGGTCTCTGGACTAATTTCTGTTGAGTCGGTGGGTGAGGTTGCCGGGTAGATGTTTTGAGTGAAGATTGGATATTAATTTGTTTGAGTGGCCTTGCATTTTGCGGTGAAGTCTTGAGTAGAATGTGATTGCTGTTTGGTTGATGGATTGTACTTTGAGGTCTTGATGTAAAGTGGCATTTGTGACATACCAAAGTGCTTTGGCGACCGTGCGAAGACATAAGGATTGGAAAGCTTGGATTGTCCGAAGGTTTGATGGTTTGGCAGTGCCCCAGAGGGCGATTCCGTTTGACCATATTGGTTGGAGGAGACTTTTATATAAAAGTAAACGGTTGGACAGGTTCATGTTTGATTTGAGGAGAGGTCTGATGACGTGTAGGCGGGTGTTAAGCTGTTTCCTTTTGTTTTTGAGATGGGGACCCCAGGTGAGTCTCCTGTCGAGTAGCAGGCCGAGGTATTTGGCTTCTCTTGAGCGGGGATTACTGAATTGTTGAAAGAAACTTCAGGACAGTCCTTAGGTCTGAGGGTGAAGGTGATATGTGTAGATTTTAATTCGTTTACTTTGATTTTCCATGCGTTGCACCACTTTGAAAGCATGTTGAGATGGTTTTGGAGATGGTGGGAGCAAATGTCTGGATCGGAGTTAGCGGCAAGAATGGCAGTATCGTCTGCATATGTACCCATAGTAGTGTTTTCTGTGGTCGGAATGTCAGCTGTAAATATGATGTACAAAAACGGGGCAATGTCGCTTCCTTGGGGTACTCCAGCAAGTATATCGTAAGAGTTGGAAAAGGTGGATTCTATTTTAACACTGAATGACCTGTTTTCGATATATGACTTAAATAAGAGATAGTATGGCGCAGGATAGATTTTTTTAATTTGTAAAGCAGGCCAGCGTGCCAGACCGAGTCAAATGCTTGGGCGACTTCAAGGAATACTGCGGAACAGTATTTTTTCGTTTCGAGGGAGGGGGCGATTAAATCGACAACATGATGTAGTTGGTGAAAAGTGGCGTGTTTCGGGCGTAAACCAAATTGGAAATTTGGTAACGCATTTTGTTCGTTAGAAATTTTGAATAGTCTTTTGACGAGTATTTTTTCCAGGATTTTTCCGAGCACTGGTAACAGACTAATTGGCCTGTATGAGTCAGCTTTATCAAGAGGTTTGCTGGGTTTTAGTATTGGAATAATAATTGCTGACTTCCAGGTTAAAGGAAAGTATGATAGTGAAGGGTGGCATTGTAAATATGGGTAAGTTGAATGATTGTTTTGGCCGGGAAATTTTTGACAATTTTGTTACTTATCTGATCGTGGCCTGGTGATTTGTTGATATTGAGTGATTTTATAATTGAAGAAATCTCATTTGGGGTGGTGTGTTTGGCGGGTAGGAACATAGGAAGTGGTGAAGTGATAAATTTGTTCACTTGATCTAGATGAGAGTTGTCCGGGAGGATAGAGTGTGGTTTAAAAACGTTGGAAAAATGTTGAGCTAATATTTCGACCTTATCTTGAGCAGAGACAGCGAGGTTGCAGTTTTGACGTTGAAGAGGAGGGAATATTGTCTTGTGTCCACGGACTAAGATATATCTAGATCTATTACTATCTATATCTAGATATATCTTAGTCCGTGCTTGTGTCTAAGTAGGGACTTTGTTTTTCTCCAAAGGGAACCATTATTTGGTGATAATGATGATAAGTGTGATTCGTAAAGAACATTTTTATGTTTCTTGAAAGTTTTTTAAGTTTGTTTGAAAGAGTGTTGTAAATATGCCGATCGTGTGGGTAGTGGGAGTGGCGGAGTTCTGCCATTTGTTGCAGGCTCGACGTTTTTCAATGATGAGTTGACTTATTTCAGGTGTTATATGATTGGAGCTTATCGTGTTTGACGTAGGGGAGAGGTGAATTGTTTTTTGCAAGAAAAATGTTTTCAGTAAGGGAAGTGATTGCCAAATCAATGTCTTCTTTAGTTTTTAATTTTATGTTTAGATTAGTATTATTTGATAAGATATTGCGGAATTTGGGCCAATTTATTTGTTTAAAACTGGGCTTGTTCGGGGCTTGGGTATTGATTTGCAATAGAACTGGAGTGTGGTCTGAAGCAGGATCATTAAGGTTGGTTGTTTGAGTTTTAAGGTGGTTTGGCAGGTTTGACAGAAAGAAGTCAAGAATTTCCGGGTGTCTGTTAGCATGCGTAGGCCAGTATGTAGGAGCATCCGTATTCCGTAGTGATAGTTTTGGCGTGCAAGGAGGACATGACTCTGAGAAGGGAACGGCCTCTTGTTTGGGACATCCATGTTATTAATTTTTTTTAGTATGGTTGGTATAATTATAATAATGGATCATGGATGTATGGAAACAATTAATATTTTTATTTAAAATGAATAAACCAATACAATTTTTTACTAGTTATAACTTATAAGCTAATTTTGATATTTTTCTGTTGAATATATTTTTTTCAATACAGTTTTATTATTCTTTATATGTATTAATTAATACAATATTAAAGTTATTTTCGCTCAGCTTCCATTAACCGGGACAAAATTAATGACCGGTGAGGACACCGGGACTGTCCCGGTCAAATTGGGACGAATGGCAAGCCTGTGTATAAGTACTATACGTCTATACAGTAGGTTAAAGGTTGATTTGATCATTTTTAGCCAAAAAATCAAATTAATGTCATTGTAGGTATAAAATATAATAATGTACGCTTAATACTAATATTAATACGCATTACGCATTAAATACTTTTAATAATACTTATTCTAACATTTCAACCGAACGAAATTTTCTTTTTTATTTAAAAAAAAAAATATTTTAAATGTCTATAAATAACTCAAAACAGTTCAATATATTTTGAACGTGAAAATAATAAAATTGACATTAAACATTTGATCAAAATTTCAAGTACTTACCTACTGTTAATAGTTTTGAATTACAATAAAATAAGGAAATCGTTCAATGAGAATTTGTTAATATAGAGGTAAATATCCAATGTCAAACGCTCATAAAAAATTAATTTGACCGGATAAACTTTTTTTGGTGTTAAATTTTGGACAACTTATGGGGATTCTGATTTCTGGAATCAAATTTTCAAGTTTTTTGAATTAGGGAACATTTTTTAAAAAAATATTAATATTATTTATTATTTCTTATCTTCTTAGTATGTGGTGTAAACACAGCTTATCATTTTTGTTATCACCGTTTAAAAAATTATGCACAAGTGAAAAGTCGGTTGGAAATTTGGACTGTTGGGAGCACAATATAAGGCGGTTGAAATTTTTAATTTAATGATTTACTAGCAGTGACTTATTTACTAATATAGCATATATTATTATTTATTATTGTATAGTATACTAAATTATGTGTATACAGTATACTTTAGTATACTTGTCTATGCTTGTATAGAGTGCCGTTACATGTGGAAATTAAAAATATTTGTTGTTTTATAAAAATTTTATTTGGTTTTTTTTCTTATTATAAATGTCGGATCCTTCAGATTTTGAAAGTATTATTTCAGACGTAATCGTCTCACCATGCAGTATTGACAGTCTCGACAATGAAAATGCAACCATAAATGATGTCACAATATCTCCAACCAACAATATAGTAGTAAACACAATAAACGATGATGGTACAACCACCTATGAACCATCTCAACATGACGTGTCTCTCACGGATAGCGATCACAGTCTGCTGGAAGTACCGAAACAATTTAATGCCTCTTCTCCTTCCAGTGTCTGCTCAACAAGACCACTTGAATGGGATAGTGGAGCCGATGTGGGGTACGATATTTCGTCTAAACATCAGAATCAAGATATGAGCACAATTGAAAGAATTGCAGTAAGTAGCCTTGTTTATAACACAAATTCAACCCCAATTGGTTGTGATAACCAAAGAATCCGTAATAAAACTAAAAGTAATTCATTGGATAATCTGAATGAAATAGAATTATCTAGAGGGAAAAAATCTTCTTCATTAGATGTATTGAAATGTACAGCTGAGAAGAGTGACACTCTACCAAAATGCAGATCACCAATGGCTTCTTCACTTTCAGTGTCGACAGTAGTTCATAAATTAGAGTCTTTAAAAACAGAATGTATTAATAAATTAACCAACAAAAATGTCAGTTTAATTTTTAATCAACAAGAAAAAAGGTTTGAGAGTTTAAGTATTAACTCCAACAAAGAACAAAAATCGTCAGGAAGTAGTAAAGAATCAAATAGTACCTTGGGAAGTGCTGACACTGCTGGATCTTGGGTAGCAAAAGAATTTCACGATTCAACAAATAATACTTCAGATCGAGTAAATAGCTTTGAGTATTTACCAGGTAATTCATATTATAATACTATAAATGATGAACCAGAGGAGTATTCAGACAAAGAAATTAAACAAAGCACTAAGATGTTGGTTGAGGCAATGAAACAGAATGGTTTAACAAATGAGTTGCAAAGAAAAGAAATTTTTAAAGAAATTATTGAAAGTTTTATACAAAAGTATGTCCAGAAAGATAAAGATAACAGTTCATCATTAAAAAGTCATTCAGATACTGATCAAACTCCCATCAGACAAGAATTTACTTCTCAAACGTCTAACACTGCTAATACAATTGTCAACAATCCAACAAGTAAAATAATTTTTATTCAATAACCTAACATTTGTCTTATAAATGAAAGTTTTTAGATAATCATTCCAGCACAATTACATTTACATCCCCAATAACCTCTTCAAGGTATGGTGATGATGTTGATTCCAAATATGATGAATCTTCTGTGGACTCTGGGCGGCATATTAATTTACAAAAGTGTAAAATAAAAAAACCCTGCACCCTGACAAATGTAAGTAACATTTAGATGTTTAAGTTATATAGTAATATATGGTTTTATGCTCTCCGTAAGTATTAGGATACCATACATAAAACCTTAGATCATGTACTAGAGATGTAGCCATCAGGCTAATTTTTGATGCCTACCTACATGGTCTATGAATGAACCCTAGAACCCCGACTGTTTTGGCGCATACACGTAACTCAGTTTGGTTATTCTGATTGAGCTAACAGTCATTGTATGCTCATTAATGGCAAGGCTCTTGCTTTTCAGTTATTTTAGCATCAAATCATAGGATTATAGGGGCAAGGCTACATCCATAGTACGTGATCTAAGCCTAATATGTACTTATATGCTTATATAAATATTTAATAAATAAGAAAATTTACTTATATTTAGAATACTATAATTTATGAAAAATATGTTTGTTATATTTACGATTAAACATAATTCATAATATAAAACAAATCAATTTCTTAAAAAATAAACCAAAAAGTAGTTTTTTGAAATTCTTAATCAAAGTACCATGATTTTTTATGATTACTATCAGTGTAAGAAGAGAGCATTTTTTCAAATACTTTCAGATTTAGTGCTTCAATACACATTTTGAAAAAAAAAATTGTTAAATGAGCTTAGGTACTAAACTGAATTTATACCAACTATAGTATTATATTCATCATTATGAAGTATAAAATAATTCTTCGTGATAACTTAATAATTAAATAAACATTCATAATAATAATTAATTTTTAAATTATACACACAAATTCTATTTATCTGATATAATTGTCGAACTATAATAGTGGTTCTAAAATAAAATAAAAAAAAAAAAAAATTAAAAAATATAGAAGTTAACATTTTCTTTAAATTGAAGGTTAGCAATTTCAAAAGATAAAAATGTTTACAGATAAATAAATTGTAATCAACAATCATTTCTATATAGATAATATCCTATCTATAGTTATATAGATATGTATCATTCGGGAAATAGTTTTATTTTTAATTCAAAATAACTTAATTTGACAGTATTACTTATTAGTTTATTTAGTAATATCCAAGTTATACAACAAATTATTAAAGTTTTGGTTCATTTTAAATTTTACCTGAATATTATGAAGTTACAGAAACAAAAGGATCAAAGTGTGCAATGTACAATTCAAGATAATTTATCAAATATAAGTAAAAATGGAAACTTAAAAACATCTAAATCTACAAAAAAAAATGAAGACTTGGAACCAATTCTAAAAAATAATACACATAGTAAGTTGTATAACAAATAAACTAACAATTTCTTACTTGAATATTTTTATTATTGAATTTTAACTAATCAACAATTTTCTAATAGGTAAAACAAATTACAATGATGTAAATAAAGATTTTAATAAACAAATGATTTGGTTTCATAAAAATTACATGAAAACTGAAAGAGAAAATCAAATGCTTTGGATCAACAGTCAGATATCGCACTTAAATAATTTGAAAAAGTTTGTTTTTCATTTACTACATTTCTACAACTACCAATGGTAGTTAAACAATTTTTAAAAATTAACATAATACTTTGGGAAAAGTAAATGTACAGTTTTTCTATTTTATATTCAAATTTTAAAGAGATGATTTCTTATCTTTTATTAACTGAATAAATTTAAAAAGAAAGCAATTTATAAATTGTCGGAAAGGAACTTAACTAATAAAATAAATTACCATATTCTTAAAAAAAAAAACATTGAATAATTTAATACTTAGGTATCTAAAATATATTATAATTTAAAATACAATAAACATTATTTGTATTCATAAATATTCATTACCACATTATGCGAATTATTTATGTAGAACAAACCTATTTAAGGAAAAGGCATGTTTTTATTGTACTATTGTGTCTATATAAATTCATTTTTTTCCAAACAATTTAATAAAGATAGAATGAAATAATTACTACCTACATTATTATATAAAAATATTGATTTATTAATTTAAGAAAAAAAACAATGCTTTATAATAATCATCTCTTTTGTATATAAGTTTAATTTTATATGTACAATACTATGTTGTATGTTTAATTGTTTTTGAAATTGCTATTTAATATTGTTTGAACTTAAAAATAATTATAAAAATATTTTTACCAGGCTTTTGAATACCCATGAAGAACTGAAAAAAAATTGGAATACATATAAACAGAAACAAACAAATAATAAAACCAAGTTAAGGTTTGAAAATTTACATAATATATACTAAATTATAGTTATTTTTAAAGTAAAAATACTACTAATAATCATTATTAATTAAATGTAAACTTCAAAGATTTCCTATGTTATAATTTATGGAAAAATAGTATCTAAAATTAAAAATAGTTTTTCAAAAATAATTGTTTATTTGAATTAAGTACGAATTTACAATAATTTACTATGATTATTTATGTATAAATGATAAATTCATTTTAAATTTGACCTGTACACAAATGTATATCCATTATCTAATATTGGTGTTACTGTTGTTTCCAACATTTTATTGCTTATCGAAAAGTTATAAATCCCATTTCTTGTTATTTCAATTTATAAATTATGATGTTCATCTTACTTTTTACATTAGGAATAAAGAATAACAAAACAACATTTTTGTAAGTTTAGTTGAAGAAAGTGGAGAGTTACCCCAGAAACTGCTTTAATTATTTCAATTCTTTGTACTTAAAAACTTATAATTAATTAACTATTTTTGAAGTTTGACTTTTCTTACATCAAAATGTTATTTATGGAAAAACAATTTAAAAAAAGTTGAAATTATCAAGTAGAGTCAAAACATTTTGACAAATTTACCCTATAGAGAAAATTCTAGATTAAATATTTGATGACAATTTCAAGTATCTGTGGTTATTTGTTTTTTAATTACAGCATAATTAAAAAACCGGTTTGATAAAAAATTAATTTTGAGTAAAAAGAGTTCCATTATTGTTTTTTGGTTTTCCAATTGTTAAGAAAAGTGCTGTGAATTTTTAATTTTGACCTCCCATTTGTATCTACCAGATTCATTTTCCTACTGGAAAAGATATGGAAGTTGAAAATCAAAGCATTTTTTCTACTGTCAACTGTGTTTAAACACACCATTGTAAAACCAATAAATTCGTTGCTCCGCTTATAATCTTAAAGATATAACAATAAAAAAATAGAAAAAATAAATACTGTTTTGAAATGACTTCAAATTATTGAATATAATTTTTGAGATTCTGAATATTTACTGTTATAAGAATCACTAATTATAGACTATGCTAATTTGTTATAGATCATATTTATGAACTTTTTAATTTTACAGGAGAAAATGTCCAATATCAAATTCAAGTTCCGATGTTACTACTTCAACTTACACTGATTCAACTATTTCTTCTAAACCGGTATCAGTTACTTCAAGATCTAATGAAACTGATGTCGAATCTTCAGCTACAATTTGTGACCATATTCATTATAAGAAAGGAATTTTAGTAGATGAACCTAACTCTTTGAAAAAATGTTGTGAGAAAACTCTTCATGGCATTAAAGAAAAACAAAATCAAAACACTAATAAATTTAAAACCGCATGGTCTCAAACTGAATCAACTAATGAGACAAAATTGAAAAATGATAAAAAGGCTAAATCTCAGTCAGGTGTTACATATACAGTTGACCGCAAATTAAAACCAATCAGCAGTCAAAATTCTATAAGTTATGATATAATATTTAAGCCTACCTCAAGATGTTCAAAAGAAATAGATTTTGTATGGACTTATCAATGATAAAACAAATTAAAATAAATTAGTAGATACATTTTTTTATTTTTTAGGTTAACAATCAATTAAAAGAGCAGAAACATTCAATATCAGTAGCATGTCAAACAAATAAAAACCCATTTAAGCCTAAATCTAGTTTACAGGTACTCAACAAATTTAAATTATTTAATCTTTATATTTGTTTAATAGTGATAAAACATAGTATATAGTTACATATTATACCCTTTCCAGCAAGAGAACACAGTGATTTCGTGCATTCCCTTGTAAGACTCTAGCTGGTGGGTATGATCTCGAGGTTTTTTACATTTTTGTTTTGCTAATTTTCTCTTGCTGGAAAGAGTATTGCTTTTTTATTTAATAATTGTAAGCTACTTATAGAAATTCTATCATAAGTTTTGAAAATATTAAAATGAATGAATTAATTTATATTTTTTGTATTAAATTGAATTATTTTATAGTTAATATTAATAAAAAAACATTTTTTATACTATAGTAGTCTAGTCTACAGGGTGATTCATTTAACCCAGGACACTCATTATTCAAAAAGTATAAATATTTTTGGTACTATTTTTTTACAGGGTTTCAAATCATTACAAAACAACGTTTAAATTAAAAAAAATATATAAAGATTATAAAAATGTTCATCAATGATTAGAAACCATGTATAATAATGTATTTCAAAATCATTTATACTTTTTGAAATAATGAGCGTTCAATGATAAAATAATCACTCGGTATAACTAAATTTTAAACTTATAGGAATATTTGATGGAAAATCGTCCTGATTATATTTGTCGAGCAGAAGAAAGGAAAACTATATTAACTAATTTAGCAAGTTTAAGAGACGAGCGCAAACAGTTGAAAAGAAATATGCTAATAACAAATAATAATGAAAATAAAGTTCCACCAAATCCATTAGGTAATTTATATTAGCTTTTTATTAACATGAAGTATAGTGATTATTATGATATCATTTGATTTAAGCTGTTAAACGTGTAATGAGCCAAAGTGAAATGCGGAAACAGACTGAAAATAAATATCGCAAGTGTCCTGAAGTAAAAAATAAAAAGATAGAAATAAAACGAAAAGAAGATTATAAAACAAATAAAATCATGGCTAACATTTTTAACAAGGTAAATATTGGCTTAACATTGATTTAAAAACAATTTGAATCCTATGTAATAAAACTTTAATTATAAACAAAAAAAAATTGGTTGCAGAGACTTCAAAAAAAGACATTAAAAGGAAAAGTTGATTTATCCAACAGTGTAAGTGTTTGCAGTTCGTGAATATTAATATTATCTTTTAAAAATTATAATTTTCTTTTGTATCTTTTATTGATTGTTTTTGAAATAGACAATTATTTTATGAATGTACTCTTGTTCTTATGTTTTTTTAATAATTAATTTATTGTTAACATATTTTATTAAAATGTTTTGAACAAATGATTGAAAAGTATTAAAAAAACGTAATTATTGTCATAAGTTAGCCTTATGCAGTTGCTTCCAAATATTTTATTTTGTATTTAGATAAATGAATACATCCCTATATGACTATACAAGGCTGGGCAAAAAAATTATTAGTATTTACATTACTAATGTCTAACATTATGAGTTATTTTCTTTAAGATTATGTCGGTGCACTGTTTTTTTCTCTCTGGTTTTTGACACACAATAGATAAAGCCCATTTTCAAAAAATCATTTTTTTTTATGTTTTTGAGTAATGTTAGATGAAAATTACCCATTACAAAAATAATAGAGAAAAATATTTTTGACAGTATGAGATATCGATTTGTTTAGATATTGTCTGAAAACATTTAATATGCCACACTCTCGAAAATATTACAATCTATAATATTTCTTATATGTGTATTTACTCTCAGATTACTTAAAATCATAAAAAATGTTGTGGGTTGGAAAAATTGGATTATTGTAATTAAGTAAAACTTCAAATAAATTAAAATAGAAAATAACAGTTTCACTCAACATTCATTTATATTCTATCAACAGTATCAACCATAACTCGTATCAACTACCAAATAACTCAGGTTGATGTTTTAAACGACTTTGGTGTGTAATCGCTTAAAATATCCTGTTGTGTGCGTAATCTCAAAGGCTACAAAAGCCGTAAGCTTTTGAGACAAATCAAATAAGTACCAAATCGAACTGAAGAATAACGTTTATTTAGCAGAAATTATGATGAGTGTATAATAGCGTGTGCGTGTGTGACGAGAAGTCGCTCTGGTCTCCGTGGCTATGATACATCTGCGAATTGCGATCTGCCCAGGCTGCACCTCCGGCTCCCTTAAAAGTGGTGGCGGTTCCTTTGATGTAGTGGCTGGTGTGGCTTGTAAGTGTGGCGGTATGGTTTTCGGTCGTTGTTGCTAATTCCTAGAAAAGCGTCTAGTGTTCATGATTTCCAATCGTGTACCTGTCCAGTGATTTATTACATAGGTAGATGCTAATCCGTTTTAGTACATAAGTTATTTTGCGTTGACAGTTTTTTTATGTTGGGACAGGTTAATATATTCGTACGCTATTTCATAAGGACTGTGGTTTCAGTAATACTTTATACATTGTGAAAGGTCCCCACATAGCAAAATTCTTCCCGGGACGTCATTAGGACCATCCTAATCATGTCCGCAAGTTATCCTAACAGTATGCTCGAAAAAGACATTCTGAGGATGCTCTTAGTACAGTCTCAAATGACTTACCTCCCATTAGGGTACTGGTAGGATATTGGGTAAATCCTATTTGAATACTTAATGGAATTTGTGAGGATTTAAATCTACATCATAATAAAGGACTCACAGAAGATATAATTATTTTATCATGTACCTACTCAGAAAGATGTATTAATAAGTACCACCAGGCACCATGAAGTATATGAACATTACCAATCAATATATAGGTACAAAGTACAAACCACTAGTATATTTAATATTATACTGTATTTATTGTATGAGTTAACATTACGGGCATCGGGCAGTTTTCCCACGGAGAATGGAGATACCACTATAACAGACAGAATTATCTCATGGAATTCCAGACTAATCTAGTTGGTACATATGGCGGTAGTGCAGTACGCACAAACAAGTATTTATTTGTTATCGATGTTATCGTATAACATAGGGAATTTTTTCATCGTTATATTTCTAAAAATATCCATATTGGTACACTAATTCATTTTACAAAATTATTTTTTTTCTAATATTCTATACGCGGCGGTACAACGGTCGTCACTAGGGTCGCGCTGGTTCGTGTGGCTCAGCTCAGCGCTCAGCCGGCTAATTGACCAACTCGACCGCGCGCATCATCACTCACTCTTGGGCCTTCCCACGCCGTTTGCGACATTCTGTTCTCTGCAGTTAACAGTTCTCACTTCTCGACGATATTACATATTTTTTTTATAAACCTTGATTTTATACTTGTGTTTTATTTTATACGCGTACTAGTGTTATGACTTACTAGTCAGTGGCAGAAGTCAACGATTCCCAAAATAATTTTATTAATGATAATGGTAAATATCCCTAATTACATTTTAATAGTCAGGTATCAAAAACAACTATTTTTTATTTCAGGACCATTTAACAGTCACGAAACACAGATATGGTTAATTAAATCTATCGCTCAACTTAAAAGTGACGTTTCAATCATAAAAAAATCTGTAAATGCTAACAATCAACTTCTAAAACAACTTCTCAGTTCATCCTTGTAGGATATCCTCACTTCATTCTGATAGGGGGTTCTCAGTTCATCCTTGTAAGATGTCCTCACTTCATTCTGATAGGATCCTCTTAGTTCATCCGTGTGAGACGTCCAGAGGATAAATAAAAAAAGGACATCTGGACATTCTATGGGTATCCTCTGATCGTCCTGAGGATAGTCCTGACCATCCTGCTAGGACCATTTAAGTACATACTGTGGACATACATTTGCTATGTGGGTCATTGAGATGTGAGTTCTAAGCTATAATATTATAATATTACATGTTACATATTAGTTATATATGCGGACCATCCAAGGCCCGCAACAATCCTAGACAACTTCTACCAAAACAATAACTTCTGTTAGTATTAAGTAGGAAGTAGCCAATAGGGACATTGATATTATTACATATAGAACACAATATTCTTTTATTTATTCATTTTACTTGATATTCTTGTTTTTGTATATACATTTTTATCAATTTTATTTCTTGTACTTTAGCTTGGAATTCCGGATTGTTGAAAAATCGGTTTTCTTACGTAAATCTGGTATATTTTCTTTTGAAACAGGGTATACTTTAAATTTTCATCATATGTTACCATACGACCATTTTTTGAACATGATCAAATTTCCAGTATAATTTGACTGTTGACTTGTTGAGATATTAAGGTCATGAGGAATTTTCATTTGATTGGTGATCTCATAGATTGTTCCTACCACATGCTAATTGTTCGATTTGATTATTTGTAAGTGTGAGGGGCCAAGCCAGTTCAGAGATATTTGGTAGCCCGGGGCAGAAGTGCTCCTTTTTTATTTACATATTTATACCTAAATATATTAAAGAATAATGGAGACCGTTGATTATTTGGTTTTCGGGTGCTCTGGTTCTAAATTTAGAATTGACCCAAACCAATAATTTTTATTATAAATATAATAGGTCAATTTATCCGAATGTCTAATATTTTAGAAGCGGTTAATGGATACCTGTGGAATGTGGATGATTTTCCTTGAGTATTTTGTATCTAAATTAGTGATGGGAATGATTCGATTATTTGAAAAATCGATTAAATCCGATTATTTTAAAATCATTCGATTAATCGAAACCATTCGAAACAATTCGATTAATCATAATAAACATTCGAATGATAGAAAAGTCGAATGAACATAAATTAGACATTAGTTATTTAAAAATCATCTTTACTGGTTCTTTAGTATTTAATATTTATCGACACTCGACAGTAAAATATAAACAAGTAAAAACTAATGATTTACATGATTATTATTTATTATGTATGATGTAATTATTATTAAATTGGTGGCAATTGGCAGGACTTGAGATTCTCAATGTTTGCGTTAAAGCAACGTTTTCGTCGTATTCGACTAGACCGTTCGTCGGATCGAAACGTTTTTAAAATGACGTCGTCTGACATGCTCTGACGGTTAACCTCAAACAAAATGTTATCTGCTCGACGATAGCGATGATAGTGGACTACCGACTGACTGCGGCTGCTGTCCTGGTTGGGTTCAAACATTTAAGTATTTATTGTATAACCTCGTGTTCCGACTGCAACAACTATCTACACAGTACGACGCTGTACACAACAGCCGTGTTTTAAATAAGCATATAAATAACAGCCTGATAGTTTAACATATTGACATTTTTGTTTTATTACCGGCGTCTTCTGAGATCTAATTCCTCGAACAGACTCACGCCCTCCTTCGACGTGGATATTCATAATTAGGTATAACGCAACAGTCTTCCATCGTTTTTTCGCGCGCTTGTCGCGTATTATTTTTGGAATCTCCGTTCATAGTTTTTGCAGGTACGTTTAATTAACATTTCAATAAATAATGTACAACTGACCGTAAGTATTAATTTGTTTTTATAAATTGTTTTTTATACACAGTCCAATACAGCGATGAGTACTTCCAACATAAAAGCCGAAAACGACACAGTGAATCCTACTGTAGTTGATGCGAAAGTAGAAATATCTGCTGAATCAAAAACCATCAAATCCGAAAACAATGGCGTACTGCCTACTGTAGTTGACAAGAAAGTAGAACAGCCAACTGCCATCTTACCCGCGAATCTTGAGCAGAACATTGTTAAGCAGCTCAGTTTTTACTTCAGCGACACCAATTTACCTTATGACAAGTTCCTACAAAATGAGATAAAAAATGATGACGGCTGGGTAAAAATTGATGTGCTATTGACGTTTAAAAGACTTGCATCTCTGTCCAAGGACCCATCAGTGATTGCACAAGCCGTTAAAAATGCCACTGATAGCATTGTGGAGGTCTCAGAGTGTGGCGAAAAAATTAGACGCAAGGCAGACAGTGCTGTACCGGTTGCCGACCAAGAGTTCTTAAACGAGATGATTGCGCGGTCTATCTACTGCAAAGGCTTTCCAAAAACAGCTACTATGGACGAACTTTTAGAGTATGCTTCAACCTTTGGGGACAAGATCATTACTAAAGTCACACCTCGAAGACTCAAAACTAAAGAGTTCAAAGGTACCCTTTATTTTACATTTAATACCAAAGAAGAAGCTGAGAAGTTTTTGAATCTAGAATCTGTTAAATACAAAGACGTTGAACTGGAACGCAAGTGGGAAAAAGATTTCCTCGAAGAGAAGAAAAAAGAGTATGAAGATAAATTGGCAAAAAAAGATCAGAAAATAAAAGCAGAGACAGAAAAATATTTTAAAAAAGGATATTTACTTAAAGTTGATAACGTGGATGCATCTGTTACAGTTGATAGTATTAAAACAATTTGCGCCGGATTTGAATGGCAAGTAGCCTTTGTAAAAATAGTTGAAAACGAAAAATTAGCGTGGATTCGATTGAAGCCAGTTAAAACTGCCAAAGATCTGTTGGAGGAAGTTGCCGAAAAAGTGAGTGACCTGGACATCAAGTTCTCATTACCAGACGAAGAGGTTGAACAAACTGTATTGAACGAAATGACCAAAGAAATGAAAGGTGTTCTCAACATGAAAGATAAAATGAAAAGGGAAAAGAACAAGAATAAGGGAGGAAAAAGATATAACAAGCGGAGAAACGATGATGGAAATTCTGGTAATAAAAGATTTAAAGCCAACGGAAATTAATTTAATTATTTGTGTATATTTTTTTTTTATACAATAAGGACCTAAACATGTTCATCTTTACAAGCTAAAATTAAAGATAACCTATTACAATTATTAAAACAGTTTTATTTATATAAAATATATATGTTAAACAAACACATTATGTAACTGCATATTCTAAAATGCGTGCATTGCTGGTGGTTTTTCGTACTCAGGTTTGGCTTGACGCTCACGTTCATTTTGCATTGCTTGTACTCGAGACATCTACAAACAAGAAATTCTAAATTAATTCCATTATCAATAAGTATAAGCCACGGCAAGTATATATTTCCAATAACTCAAGAAATCATTTATAGTAAAATAATTGTATGAATAATAGTGACAAAATCGTAGGGTTTACTCACATTTAAATCGAGAATTGTATCAAATAGTTAGAAATTAAAACCAATAATATTTAGGAAATCGGTAATTTTATAATCTAGCGATTCATTAACGTAATCATTATTCGAAACACCAAAAATAATGTCAATGATAAACAAAGTTCAAAAATTTGTAACTAATAAATTTACGCTAAAGAGAAGATAGGACACAGTGACAAATTTTTTTATGTAGCATAATTAACTACTAATTAAAAAATATTTTATACTTTATCATTAGGTATATTAAGATATTATTTTTTTTAATTGCTAATGTTATCACTCTGAATGAAGATATTTTTAATTAGATTGGAAAAGATAATGTGAGAATTTTAATCTGACAATTTAAAGTTAACGTTACAAATGCATTGATTTTGTTATTGCTACACGGCTATAATAGTCCAGTAAAAACATTGAAATTATATTTAAAAATGTGTAATTCCTACACAATTACCAAATCATTATTATTTTAACTTCATAATATTAATTATTATTTTTTAACAGGCTATTGAATACCCATAAAGTATACTGATAAAAAAATCGGCATACATATAAACAGAAACCAAATAACGATAAAACGAAGTTAATGTTAGAAAGTTAAAATAATATATACTAAATTATAGTTATTTTTAAAGTAAAAATACTATGTACTAATAACCATTATTTATTAAATCTAGACTACAAACATTTTCAAAATTAAAAATTATAGACAAATAGTATCTAAAATTAAATATTGTTTTTCAAGAATGATTGTTTATTTGAATTTGGTTCAAATTTACAACCATTTACTATGATTACTTATGCATAAATGATAAGTTTGTTTTAAATTTGACCACTTGTTCCAGGACACAAATGATATTCATTATCTAAATATATTATAATATTGGTTTTACTATTGTTTCTTATATCTTAAGCCTTAAGACTTAAGGCATATTCATACAGAAAGCGAGCGTACCATGCGGTCTCTGTAATATATTATATCCGGATTGCAGCTTGCTGTGTTCTGTGTGTGTATTCAACCTCTACTGCAGCCTACTCTGTTTGACTGCGCCTTTATTGTTTATCAAAAAGTTATGAATTCCATTTCCAGTTATTTTAATTTATAATTTGGATGGTTATTTTATTGACGAATACTCGTCAGGTATCTTAAAATTTATTATTTATTAATAATTTAGAAAATATTTATTAACATAATTTTAAGGAATAAGAAAACAACATTTTTATAATAAGTTTAATTAAAGAAAGCGGAGAGGTACCTCACAAACTTTTGGTCCATTACATTAATTATTTTAACTCTTTATGCTTAAAAAATTATAATTAATTTACTACTTTTGGAGTTTGACTGTCGTCCATCAAAATACAGTGATTTGTCTCCATCTAACAAATGGGTAACAGCATATTTACACGCAGTAGATCATGTTTAAAAATTGGAATGAATTGACCTATTATAAAACTTTTGATGGTAAGAACATTACATGTGAGTTTTTACAATAGTTTAATAACTTAGCAAATTTTGAATATTTAATATAGAGTAAATTTTAAATTATACAATCATGATAACCCTCACAGATAATGTTCTTACCATCAACTTTTATAATAAGTTGATGCACTCTAATTTATAACTAACAAAGCTAAAAGTGATATGCTGAGCATAAATCTGCTATGATAAGCACTTGTAAGACGGATACAAGAAATTTCTGTGATTCTGTGTAGCGTCCTTTTAACCGTTTTTTGTGTAACATATTATATTTTAATGCACCTAATTTTGGACAAAAATTACCTTTGAGAAGTTTGGATCCAAGCCAAGATTCATGAAGCACAACAGTGGACATGGCCCCAAGAGCCTTAGTAGCCATACCCTCCTCTCTCATTAACCGTGTTAAATTGATATACATTAATTAATAATTTATTTTTATTATTTATGTATCATAATATAATATTTGTTGGTGTCCAGAAGAGTACATATCCCCAATGGAGAATTTTGAAAAATCTTCATATGCTATAAGCTCCATAGCTTCTAAGTATATTGAATCATAGGACTCATAATACAATTACTAAGGCTTATTAGTTTGTGCCCCAAAAAGCTAGATTATGTATTCAACAATATTTACTATAAAATATTCTCAAATGTGAGATACTAAACCTTAAATTGAGCAATAAAACTTATAAATCTAAGAAAAAAATACATTGTTTGTCTAATAAACAAATCCTAATATTTTTGATTTTAAACTCATATGAACGAATTTATTTTTTAGTTCATTTTGGGGGTTGTTTAAGTAAAATGTAAGAAAATGTTTGAACCAAAGTTAGCTCATGCACTATGCTATAATTTGTTTTAATTTTCCTCAGTCCTGGTAGTATCATTTAGTGAAAGTTGAAAAAAGTAAAATCCTACCTGAAAAACATTAGTCCAGTCAAAAATATTGAACTGATATTTAAAATTATGTAACCCCCACACAATGACAAGATCAATCCATGTACCTGTTTGTCTCTAGTGCAACATTCTTTGAAATCGTCATAGTACGCTTGACATACTTCCATGCCTTTCGGATAGCCGTAAGCCTCGTAACAGTTCATTAATTTCATTTCAAAATCTGCACAGCGTATGCCTGTCTGCGCAGACATCAGTGGACCTGTGAGATCGGTTATCGGATTCCGGAAGAACGGACTCAAAAACGACATTTTCTCTCACCTAAAAAACCCAGAAGTATAGAAGTAATATTATCGTGTCTGGACTCTCGGTATATACTTACAGTGCCTGGGACAAAGCCGAGAAAATTGAATGAATGATTTTAGTTAGATGTATTGCAAAATGCAAATAAATATTAAACAAGAAACTCTCCTTCCAAAATCGTAATTCCTAGAATGGTAGAATACTGGTGCTTATCAAATATCACCAAAATGTTATCACAGTAAAATTTTAAGAACCATGTGTAGAGGTCACAGCAGGGTGCCGGCGAGATTGCGGAAATTGTTTTTCTGAACGATTACGCGCCAAAAGTAACGTAATAAATTAAAATAAAAAAAAATTTCGATTTAAATACTTATTAGTTATTACCTATAGATTACCAACTAAAAATGCATGTATTTTATAATAACTAATTTGGAGTGTATTTCTTCATGAAAGTAGTAATTGTCCCCAAACCAGGAAATCTGTATTTCACATATGTTACAGCCCAATTGGTTTTAAACTTTTACAGCAATATTATGAAAACCAAAACTTACTTTTAACATTTATATGCTTTTAAAATGTGTAAATTGTAAACATTTTTTAAAATAGTAAACGGGATTGCAAACGGACAATTTTTAAGGGGTTCGGTATAGGCAATTCTTTCGTCACTTGCTGTTATTGCTCGTTTTTATGACGTGTGTAGTAAATGATCATTATGTGTGCGTTCCTCCCTACAAATCACCCGCATCATATATATTGCTATGTACCCTTATGCACATGTCATTAAGTCATTAGATCAAAATATTCAAAACCAATAATTTAAGGACGTGAAATAGCTGTACGACTGATAACAATTTTCAACTTTTAATATTGAATTATATAGAAAAGTAGTTTGTCAATAAAAATATTTTTATTTTTTTTAAATCAAACCACTAAAAGTAGGTTAATTTTTGTCAGTCACTAAGGTTGTTTTGATAAAAAATGAATAGCATTTGCAATCCCCTAATAGTTTTCAAATTTATAAATCATAATTTTTTCTTTACAGATTTTTACAATTAAAATATGAAACACAATAATAAAACAGCATAATTTTGACACTAGTATAAATGAAATTGCTCAACCTATACTAAATTAAGAGTAAAATAAATAAGTGTATCCAGGTAGTTTTAAAAATATATCTTTGATACTTTTGTACTTTAATAAAACACAAAGTAATTAAATATTGAACAAAATATATACATATAATAGTAAATATATAAAAGTGTAAAAATTACGAAAAATATGAATAGTCTTAATGTTCATTTTTGATGACAAGCATTAGATTGTTAATAGTGTCCAAATGGAAATTGTTTTGCTGTAAATAAATAACATAAATTAAGGCCAATTTAAACATAAACTAAAAAAATAATAACAATTATTTAACTTACCAAATCATTCAAAGCATTTTTAGCTAATTCAAAGTCCTTCATAATAGTAATTACATCAATTTCCAATTCTTTCTTATGCAAATTGCATTTATTAATTTCAAATTCTAACAACTTTATAGTTTCGGACTGATGACTGGATTGTTTTATCATACTGTCAATTTCTCTGAAACATACACATTGCATGTGAATAAACAAATTGAAGATACTTCAAACATTATCTGAAAACTCTACTATAATAATGTAATGATTATAAAAATACTAATATACTACTAATTAAACATTTTTTTTTAAAAAATGATAGTTTTAAAAACAGATAATTATTTCTATTACAAGCCTCGTTAGTAGGTACACATTCAAATTAAATTAAAAATCCCTATGTAAAAGCCCATTTACGGGTATACAACCACAGTAAATGGTGATAGTTAATGTCTCAGCATAACTCAGGAAACCACTGAATAGATTTTATCCTAATATTACAGAAAGTTATACTGTGTCAAATACTGGTCCACAAAAGAAATTGTTTCACACATGTGGACTGACGGCATTCTCCACTTCGTTCCATTTAGTATATGTTAAATAAGTGGGGAGGTGAGGAATAGAACGCGT